TCCCTCCATCCCTAAGGCTAATGAAGCCACGTGCAATGGTGCATGAACGCAGACATAGGTTGAGCCTGTTTCTGCTGGCCTGGAGAATGTGGGGTCAGCAGAGCTCAGGGGCCTTGGGGATGTGACCTGGATGAAGCTGCCTCCATGTGCTTGTTCCCTGCCTGAGCTAATCACTCTAAATGTCCTTTGGGAGCCAGGGCAGACCCAGCAGTGGTGGACCAAGTGAAAGTTAATAAATCCAAATGGACCCACTGGATGGTTATTTTTAACTTTGTATAGAAATAGTGGGACAGCTGTGTTATTAGAGGTTTCCAACTACCCAGGTAACCAAAGGGTCCCCCACCCACCGTGGCTACAGATAATGGGGTGCTTCCCCTAGAATAAATAATGGCTTCTACCTGAAATGAAGAAGGACAGATGCCTGAACTGTGGTTCAGAAAGTTGTTTTATCCTGAGGCCCTGCACATCCTTAATCTATGACGCATGTCTAAATACATTAAAAGGTTGATATTGGAAGGCAGGGAGTGTCAAGGAGAAGATGCAGTGTTAATTGGAGATACCTGTGCTAAGTGTGCAAGTGGTGCAGGCTGACATAGTGAGGACCAGGGCAGTTAGCACAAGCTTCTGTGCATCCCTCTTGACAAACCCCACCTCTTACTGCCTTCTAATTCTCTGCCAGGTCGGCTATTCATCACAAACACGTTGAGGCTTAATTGCTAATTAATTTTGCCTAGATAATGTAGATATATATATTTTTTTTTCCTCAGTGTGTGAAATCTAGAACTTTCTGAGAACCAGCCACAAACGAGTTGACTGTAATTGGTGTTCTCTCACTTAGGCGAGAATAGTAACAGTTCATCAACTCTTAATTAGCTTGGACTTTTTTGAGAGCAGTTTCCAATTTTTTGACAGAAAGATATACATCTTGTTTCTTCTGTAGCGATACAAAGAAAGTTATTTTACCTTGAATTGACAAATTGGGCTGCGTTTGTTGGTGTTTTCTTCCTCCTGATGGTGAGTGCCAAGCTGCATGTCGTACCTGGATTGCTGAGCAATTTATTCAGTCAGTGTTGCTTGTCACAGAGAAAAGAGCACTGATTATGCAAGAAAGAGTTTGAGCTCAGTTTAATGAAATTATGAATGGGAAACCACCAGCGCTTGGAGTGATACATTAAGATACGGAGCAGCTTTTAGATATCTCATCAGCATCAGAGAAACTTTGTATTTTGTGTCTGTTGTAGGTGGATGCCATTTCTGTTCATTGTGCAGGTAGGAAGGCTGTGGCAACAGAAAAATGAAGCCACCTCAGGTTAGTCAGACCCAAAAAAGTGTCCTGCCAGGACAAATTGTCTGCCTGGCAGTTGTCTACCTGGCTTGCGAGCCCAGGAGTGAGCCTGTTCAGGAGATGCTGCAGGGGAAGGTGACCATGCAACAAGACACGGTGACGCTGCAGCAGGATCAGCCCCGAGTGAGCTCGCAGCAGTGCCAGATGGGGGTGCTGGGGGCTGTGGCAGCCCTGACGTGGGCTTGCCCCACTGTGATTTCCTTTGCCCGCGCTCATGTGTGATGCTGGGACAGGAGAGAAATGCTGGATGAGAGGCTCCCAAGTTGTAAGTCATCCTCCTGCAGCCTCTCATCTGTTGGTGGAGTAGCCAAAACTGCCTAGAAGTGGGTGCACACAGCTGCTACTCTGGGGACAGAGCCATGGCAATAAGCAGGGGTGCTCAAGTGCTTTGCAGAAGCAGAGCAGTCTGCGTAGATGTGATGAATCAGGGTTACCAGGATGGGTGCTATCTATGTGCCAGTAACACTTGCCAAGTTTTAATTACGTATTGTACAATTATTCAGTGTAGATGAGGCCTTTTGGTAAAATGAAAGCTCTCACCTGTGTTAGCACCCTGCGGTTCATAGCGATAATTTTGTCACACGAAAATATTGCCCTGTGCCGCTGTCTTTGGGACTAGCGACGGCTGAACTGTTCGAGGTGGGGGGAGATGCAGACTCCAGTGAGTCCCCTGGGCTGGATGAGAGGCCCCGGGCTTTGCAGAAAGCTTGTCCTACCCTGGCAGAGAGCTCCCCTCTGGGAGTAGGAGCTGGGATGTGGACAGTAGGGCCACAGGGAGAGGGCAGGGGTCAAGCCGCCCTTTGTCTTGAGATTCAAGAGGAGAGGCTTTGATGGTAGGACAACACATGCTGCCGTCGTCTCTTCTTATTAAACTGAGGTCCTTTAGCGAAGTACTTGTTGATGGGATCGGCTTTTGACTTTGTTCATATAAAACCCACCGTTACAAGGTACTTTTATAGGTGATTTAGGTACCCTGACAGCCCACAGGCAACACACACTGCTGTGTGTAGGAAGAAATCTGATTTTGTCCATGCGGATCAGTCATTTGAGAGATGGAGGGATCCTGGTACAAATGTTTGGAGATACAAACTGCCAACCAGGTGAGGTTGAATTAAGAATAAATTTCTTCTAAAAGTGCACTTGAAAACCACAGGTTTTATTCAACATTTTAGATAACACATTTTTATTTTCTGCATGATTAAATCAAACTTCTGCTAAGACCTTTTTAAAAGCACTTAAATAACATTTTAAATTATTAAGCTGTACATGATTGTGGCTGGAGGAAGCCAGGCTATTAATGCTCGGTATCAGTTTGTTAAAATACTACAAGAGGGTTCAGCATTAGCAGCCTGTGGTGCAGGTGCAGAGGGTGTTTCCACTTGTTCAGTCTGCTTGTTGAGTTTTAGCTTCATTCAAATCTGAGAAGCCAATGAGAGATTGTTAATGTAGGAAAGCTTGTATGGCCCTTCCAGTCTGTGAATGAAAATAAGACCTGTGGAAATAAGCTTTACTAGTTCTAAAATTTTAGAGGTGTTTAATTGTAGTCAGTGCCGTTCCCTCAAAAAATACTTTGTTTAATAAAGCTTTGTACCTGCAATATGCATTTTTCAGAAGCTTTTCTTTCTTTCCCCATATGTCTAGCACAGTGAAGTTAATTTATATATCTAAATACATGCTGTTTGATTTTAATTGAATAACGGTTTCCCTCCAACTACAGCTTATCATACATCACCAAAAAAAATAACAGTAATTTAGATTTAAAGAATAGTATAATCAGCATTGCTTCAAAAAGGCCCTAAAAAGTACAAATGTAATTGAAATTAAAATTATTATTTAAATCGTTTTTCCTCTCACTGACTTAAATGATGATTAAAGTTGCTTATGTAAATCAGTAAATTGAATCAGGCCGGTCCTGCTCTGAGTTCCCCACTGTGCAGTCTCGGAGAGCCTGAAGGTAGCTGGCAGCTGGGAGGATGGAAATACCTACAGAGGTTGGTAAGGGAGGAGTCGAATCTGTCATCTTCACCCTGCCGTATGTAGCGAGAGTCACATTTCTGTCAGTTCTACAACCACTGAACCTAGGGTGTAAAACCATTTAGTTGTTTATACCTAAACAAAATCAGGATGCAAATAGTTCATTTTTCGTTCTGGTGTGGATGATAATAGCAATAGACTAGTCTGACTCTAACAGCGGTCGTTACAGGATAGACCTCCATTGCCTGAGCAGCATCCAGGAGTCCTTGCATGTTTACAATGTTTTCTAGTGATGTTAAACAAGTGTCAGCTTATGTGCCAGAAGTGGATGGTTCTTGATTCAGGCTTGAGTGTCTCCTAAGGCGATAGCTGGCAGTTATGGCAAATTATGGTATTTGTAAGCAATGTCAGTTGATGCGTTCCATAAAGAAAACCTATGAGTAGCACCATGACAGTTTACTTTTTCTCTTCAATTGTTTAAGATATTCCTTAGGTTAATGACACCTACGTTCCTTTCTTCATAAAGCAGTTGAAGTTTTGTGTGCTAGCCTGAAAATTACCTGGGTGTCCAGGTTGTTATTAAAGCCTGCGGGAAGTCAGTGGGAGTTTATACTCTCGTGTACTGCTTGGAGGGGCAGTCTCACGTGCTGGCCCCAGTGAAGTGAATGTCAACAGGATTCTTCTGTGGATTTAAGAGGACTGAAAAAGTGCCAGTGATTACACTTAGTGCTTGGCCAAAAACGAATTATGTGTTCAGGGACATTTAGTCAAGGATTTTGCTATTTGGAGCCTTAATGTTGAGGCCACTAAAAATTCCATCATGGTATGATTTGGCAGAAATACAAAAATTACTTTCGTTTGCTATTAATGTGCTTCAGGACAACATGGTGGTTTAATATTGGCTTGGCATCTTTTATTGTGTACAAACCTTTCTTACTGTATCAAGTAGTTGTCTTGCATCTCTTGCCTTATGAGTAAAGATTCAGGCTCCAGGAGTCACTTGCACATCTTCCGTGTGCCTGAATTCTGGCACATGCCCTTAAACGTTCTCTGTTAACTTGTGCATATGAGCTCATCATGTGCACGATGAGCAGTGCAGAAGAAAGCTTGTAGCACCTTCCATATTGACAACTCTATGTCAGAATGACTTCCGTGGCAGTTTACATACATGGCTCAGCATGATTAGCCTGGCAGCGGTCAGGTTGCAGAACTGCATTTGGTGATAACCACATCGGGTTGCTGTAGGGTTTCTGCAAGCTACACTTAGACGTGTCCACATCGACCCACTGCTCGTGAGCCCTGGCTGGTGTGATGCCTGGCTAGGGACTGACTGGGGAAAACGGGGTTCTGCAAGTAGCAGTGTGGCCTTTTGCTGCTGGTGCAATGCAGGGAGTCCTTGGGAAACAGGCTCTGAGAAGAGCCTCCATTTTGGTGCCAGGTGAGGCTGCCAGAAGAGGCAGAGAGGCCCAGACCGTGGTTCTGTGGTGCTGGGGGTTCTTCCTTCAATCTTCTCAGCTAAGGCTCAAGACTGAGAGTGTGGGTAAGGTTGGTTGTAGGAGAAGCTCTGTTAGGGCCCTTCTCTTTTCTCAGGGCCTTCGGTTGTGCTGCCAAACAGCGCAGCCTGTTGGATTCTTGCTCGTCTAATTGATGCATCACTGTCTCCTTTTTCTTCTTGCTTCAGGTTATTTCCAGGATTTGTTGAACAAGTCAGAAAAGGCCCTTTATGATGCTTTTCCAAGCATGTACGGAGAACTGTACACTCAAAACATGAAGGTCTTCAAGGACTTGTACAGCGAGCTACGCCGCTATTACCGGGGCTCCAACATCAACTTGGAAGAGGCCCTCAATGAGTTCTGGACACGCTTGCTGGAGCGGCTCTTCAAGCTGATGAATCCCCAGTACCATATCACAGATGAGTACCTGGACTGCATGGTGAAACATGCGGAGCAGCACAAACCCTTTGGGGAAGTTCCCAGGGACCTGAAGGTGAAGGCAACCCGAGCCTTCATCGCAGCACGCTCCTACGCGCAGGGCTTTCTTGTGGGCAGCGATGTGGTCAAAAAGGTGTCTCAGGTATGTTGGGGTTCTTCCTTCTCCTCCATGCTCAGATTGGCTGGAGCCATTCAACTACTGCTGTTGGGGAGAGGAGGGTTTATTTCCCCTTACGTTTTCATTACAAAGTAAGCAGGTATTTTTCAGTTTTCTAAAACAAACTGCTTGAGGGTCACCCACCAGTGGAAGGGAGCAGCAAGCCTGGACTTCTACAGGCACTGGTAGTGCAGAAGAAGCAAGGTATAACTCACCGCAAATCAGTCTTTACCTCATTTTAACCTATGCATCAGAGTGCCAAGGAGATGTCAGCCGCTCAGGCTGTAAAGCCGTTCTGTTGCCTAGATTCCTCGCACTTCCCCAGCAGGGAAATGGCATGCCTCTAAATCATGCTGCCTTGTTTTCCTCCTTGATGGCGATATGATGTAGGGTGTGCAGAGCTGACTTGCCATGAGTGTGCTGGGAATACACGCAGAGAGATGCGTTTCAGCAGTCGGTGATGGGATTGCTGTGTCTGTTTATGTAGCCGTGTATATTTGTATAGCTTCTGTGTACAGAGGGGGTGAGTTTGTAAAGTGCATTGGGATCTTCAGGGATGAAAGGTGCTATATAAATGTAAATTAATATGACTGAATCCAGGGTTTGAGGAGGAAGGAAATTGTCTGTATTCTTTACTGCAGAAGCAGCCTTTCAGAGCCAGAAGAAGGTGATTGTCCTGAAACAAGATATTCAGGCTTTTCACACAGGTAGCGAGGAGAAAATCCATACTAAAAAATGACTTACATACTGCATGTGGAGATGGCAATCAGCAGGTATGAGAATCAGGGCATGATTAAACTGTGAATGTAAAAATACGGAATCGCAATTAATTTCCACCGAAGGTAACGCGTGGTAATGTGTAGCAGAGGATGGTACTATTTGATGGAACAAATTCAGACTTTGATCTCAGGAAGAAACATTAATGTGGTAACAGTGACAAATGCTTTAATTTATCAGTGTGGGACTATAAAACTGTTCAGCTACCCAAAAGCCTTCGTACATCTCATTAACATCACACTCTCCTGACACTTAAGACAGATAAAAGAGGAGAATGGTGTAATTTCAGGGGGACCAAAATAAAATATTTTTCATAAATCCTCTGAATGGCAGAGATTTCCAGCGTGATTATGCCTGTAGCTGAGTTTGGTGGGTAAAGCAGGCTGGCAGAGCAACTGCAGTCATGGTGTCAGCGGAAGAGAAAGACCTGAGATACCGACATGCAGCATATTTTTCCCCCACCTTCATGTAGGCTTCTGACCCACTGGATTTTGATTGCGGTCCCCCCTTTCTGAATTCTCCTCCTTCTCCTAGCATCGCTTATCAAACGGGATGTGGGGTATACGACCAGTCACAGATCCTCCTCTTTCCTCTGCCTCCCCCCAACCCGTTCCTCCAGGATGGAGGGTCTTCCAGGAGGGTCCCAACCATTCCTCTCTCTGACAAGAGCCCTCCCTGGGGTTGCAGTTAACCCGGCATGTTGCTGTTGTAGCACAATCTGCATGAACTGAGTTGGGAAACCTCAGCAAAGCCTCCCTGAGAGCTGATTTTGTAAGGAAGGCCAAAACTGGCCCATTTCCCCTGTCTTCAGGAATGGGTTTAGTAATTTAGGCAAGAGGGGGGGAGAATGCTGAGGTGGGAAGTCCATTTTATGGATGCCCTGGTAGCCCTCAGCTGTGTCTAAAATAAAACGCCTGGATTACCCACTTTCCTTTACCAGATGTGGATTCACACCAGTGCCAAATGGATGTGAAGTGCTGAATGCGATCCACAACTGGTGCTTTGGTTTTAGTCATTTTTCATGTTGCTTTATACTTCCGACTTTAGGAGAAAGTGTATAAGACTCTTATTAAGATCAGAGACTGGGATTTGACTTTCCTGTCAGCTGGTAGCAGCGGTCTTTAAAAATAACTCTTTGAGATTAAATTTCTTAGGGAGCAGCAGTGAGTGTTTTGATCAGGAAGTCTGGGGAAAGCCTGTGGAAATGGACACACAGAAATAAATTACCTAGCTTTGGCTTTCTGAAAAATTAGATTACTTCGAGTTTATTTCAAATCCCAGAAAAGCTACTGATTTCTATTAAAACCCTCCTGGTTTCATCTGCTCGCACACTTCCAGTTTAGTGTTTGTCACCTGTATCCTGTCGCTGTTTCAGGTCCTTGTGCAGAGCCTGCATTACTGGGCATCCTAGAGAAAGACTGGTGCTGTGTGCCAGGTTTTCTGGCTGTCTTAAAATGGGGAAGAGCCTGCCCCGACTGAGCTACAGGCAGGGATTTCATGAGATTTCTTTAATCCCTGCTGCCTCTCTGCTGTGCCCAAGGGGCGTTTCTTCCCCAGCCTTCCTCCTCTCGTAGGAAGCCATCACTTCGGGCAGCCCTTGGCCGGTGGCTGGTGGGCGCGCAGGGATGGTAACGGGAGCGGTGTGCTGGGAGCGGGTGCTCTGCCTCCTGCTGGGGATAAATAGTTTGAGGGCACCCAGGGAGAAAATGGCAAAACCATTTTTCATCTTTACTGCCATCCTAGCTTTTAAGGCAAAGTCACCCTGACAGACTGCAGGCTGTGACACCAAGATCTAAAGCTTTTAATGCCGTGGTTCCTGCCACCAACCTGGCCCCATGCTGACAGCGGCGGAAGCGCTGCCATCTGCACGACGGCTGTGGGAGGGGGCCCGGGGCACACACGTGGCTGGTGCGGCTCTTCGCAGCCCGGGCGGAGCAGCAGGGCTGGGGATGGGTGTGCGGGTTGGTGTGCCCTGGTGCAGGGTTAGGAGTTACCAATGTACCAACATGGGTGGGGGTGTTGGGGCAGCATCTCTGTGTTCACATTCAGGTTTTGTGTTTCTGTAGCTATTGTTCAGCACAAATTGCAGGTTTTCATTTAAGTTTCACGACGC